ATACGGTGCTGCAGGGATTTTTAGGTGTACCTCTTCGGGCTCTTGCATACCTTTTTCTCGTTAGATGTGTGCGTGTTCTTTAGATCCTCAGATGGCTCTAGCACTTTCGTGACCACGGGCTGAGAGTTTTTGCTAGATTTTGGCATTTAGCAACTGACATACGGTTTAATGTGAAGACAACAACAACAACAACAACTCCTACGTACGAACATAGTTTACCTTTCGCCTACGTACATTGTGTAGACTAGTGCGTTTTGTTGTTGTTGTTGTTTCTCACATTAGCTCTAAAAAACAAAATTGGGAGCCCGTGGTCTCAAAACCCGGCATACACGACCCCACGAAGAAACAGAAAAAAATAGGTGACTATCGTATTCCATGATGGATACCACTGGCTGGCGTAATGCCTACATGCCTACGCCAAAGCCCTGCATACAGAATCCCAGCACAACCAGGGAATAAAGATGAGCGGAGGGACGCAGGCCGACACGCGGGCTGGCAGTCGAATGTCCGGCTGAGATGCCGGTTTTGTCCCCACACATGCAGTCTAGACTACATGTGCTGTAGATATGGTGGTTCGAATTGGCCAAATCCGCAAGAGATGCGCACAGATGAGACAGTTGACAGCAGTAGGTGTGCCACCATGGGATGCACATGGCCACTACCGCAGGTATCGATCATGGATATTGCCCCTTTTAAACTCACGTGATCGCGCTTGGCTTTTTACCTCCCTTGCTTCCTGTGCGCGGCTGGCGCGGAGACAGGTTCGGGGCGAAGCACCAACCCGGGCCGATCTCAGTGCACGATCATTGGTCGAATAGTCTGTACAGTCCCGTGAGTCATGACGTACGGTGCACTGGTACAACTTCGTATCTGAGCCTGCCAAAAAGCAATGAGATCACTGGAGGGGAAGCCTGGAACCCAAGCTACCTGCAGCGATCGGATACTCTNACGTACGGTGCACTCTGGTACAACTTCGTATCTGAGCCTGCCAAAAAGCAATGAGATCGCTGGAGGGGAAGCCTGGAACCCAAGCTACCTGCAGCGATCGGATACTCTCCCGCCGCAAGAGCACAGCCCGTACTACCCATCATGGCAGCGATGGTGCCCCTTGATGATCAGATTTTCAACGCAGTGGGGACCACCGGCGGCATTATACTCGCATGCGCCTTGGTGCCACAAATTGTCCTCGCCCACAAACGCCGCTCGGCGGAGGACATCAGCTACATGTGGCAGGTAAAGGTGGTATACATTAGAGTTTACTATCGGTGTCGCCGTCACGTCGTTTGTCGTCAGTCAACATAATGACCTTCAACCTTTGAAGTTGCGGATGTTCGGATATTGGAATGCTGCCTACAGCAAGCAGTGCTGTATGACACCCCTAACCTACACGGT